ATCATTCATGTTATCATAGAATTAAGTGAATTAATACATGGTGACTGGAACCTAGTAGGTCTTCAAAAGTTAAAGTTTTAGTTTACCCTCTTTGAACATACTATCCATTAGAGAGCCAATCAGCTTCATACTTTGTAGTGTGGGTGTGTTGTGTTTTTTGTTTTTTTTTAAATGTACTTTTCAGTTCTCTAAATCTACTTCAATCATGATGATGGATCTGTAAAATGTAAATGTACTCTTTTTTGCAGAAGGTCAATGAAAAGAAGCTTTGAAGTATTTAAAGTCTGAATTAGGATGTGTACCAAACTAAAATTCACATTTGTTTTTTAGATTCGGCTAGCACTAATGATGGTAATCTCATTTATTGTAAGCTGTTTCTTGTCAGGCAAGCTGCAAGGAGTGGATTTCAACACCTATATACATTCTAATGCTGAGACTCAGCAGGGGAGAGAGAAACGTCCAAAGAGTGAATTGGCTTGTCCTGTCATATATAATAAAGGGAAACCTTTTCTAAGAAATTGTATCTGAAAGTGAAGACCTCCTAGAGATTTTCACCACCAACTCAGCATGGTGCTATTATTTTGTTACCAAGACACTTACACTTTGTTTTTCTTACCCCTTACAGAGAAATCAATAGTTTAAAATTAGAGCAGAGTAGTGGCTCTTGAGTGTTAATCAGGGCTTGGTACTGAGACTTCAAATATTATTGTAAGCAGCTTAGCAGCCATGTATTAAACTTTGTATGTACTCATTGGATGGATGGTTTATAGAAAAATAATTAAAATGTAACATATGACAGGGTTTACAAATATGGCAAAAAAAGTTTTTTAAAAACCAGTTATCTACTTTTTCCTGTTATCAAAAGAGCATTATCATAGATTTATTTTGGGATATCTGCCAAAATCATATTTTCTCCTCTGGAAACTAGTGTCTCCACATGTTAGACTTGGGGTTAGTCCCCAATAACCATGCTTATACTTTGTGAACTTCACTTCACCTCTCCCCTCTTAACAGGTAGCTGATGAGTGGTAGATCCCAGATATCATTTCCAGAAACTCTCACCCTATTGTCACAACTGACTCACTAGTGGGAAACACCTGACAAGCCTGAGTGAATGGCATTCTTCCACCTGGGGATCTAGGTTAGGACTGAGAAACAGCCAGTCAGTCAGTATCTGTAGGTGACGAGAACTGGACATGTAAACGTGGCAGCCCTAGGGTGGGCACATTTCACCATGTGCTAACCAGGTTGATCAGAGAAGCCCAAACATCCAGTTTGTAGAAGATAAGAGAATGAAAACGTATATCCAGAGAAAACAGAAATGAAATATGAGTAGAGATTCTTGACATTTTTCTTGTTCCTCTGTCCAGACCTTTCTTAAGGCATTATGGCATTCCTGTTACTAAACTTCATACATGAGTTAATATTCATATATAACACAATCCCCCAGGTGTGTTTGCTCATTTGTTTACTTATTTATGTACTAGTAAAAGAATAAAATTGCTTCTGCTATTTGCAATCAGTGATGACCAGTTAATTCACAAAGGTAGGTAAATGTAACTTTACTGAATCCATAGCTTATCCCAAGCAGAAATTAAAGGATATTTCACATGATGAAATTTTATGTAGTAGTTACTTTTTATCAAATGGATATCTATAATGTTCTAGGTATTTATGTACACTTATAAGTGCTATGGATATCATTTCCAATATTATTTTACATATATTATATATATATTATATTATTTCTAATATCAGTGCAGTCTTGTGAGGCTGAAATGATTAGCCCCATTATATAAAAGGGAAATCTAAGCTTCAGAGTATTTAGAAATTAATTACACAGAGACAGACACAGCTAAAATGCCAGTCAGGATGCTGCTGTCTGTTTCCAAAGTCAGCAACACCGCAGAATTTCCTGAAGGCCAAATACCTTCAAAGGAACCTCAAACTGAACTTTCCAGTTCCCCCGTGGTAGTCTTCATTTAATAAATGATTTCGCAGTTGAATCCTGTTGTTCAGTCCAAGGCTCAGTTTAACCTTCACTTCCCCAAAACTTCACAAAATTGCCCTTACCCCTTTCTTTCTTCACACATCCTACATCCATTCCATCGTCACACCCCAGCAGCCCATTTACACGCTGCGCCCAGAATCTCACCTCTTCTCACGCCCTAAGCCATCACGCTGTCAGCGGGCGTCAGGGCAATGAGTTACTCACCTGTCTCCCTGTTTCTACACTTGTGCCCACCCCCACCACATTTTAGTTCTTTCTCCATGATGCAGGCAGAATGAACCTTTAAAAACATAAATCTGGCCTGGCGAGGTGTGGCTCAGCGGTTGAGCATCGACCTGGGATCCAGGCGATTGGGGTTCGATTCCCGGTCGGGGCACATGCCCGGGTTGCGGGCTAGGCAGCCGATCAATGACTCTCTCATCATTGATGTTTCTATTTCTCTCTCTCACCTTCCTTTCCTCTCTCTGAAATCAATAAAGATATATTTTAAAAATAAAATAAAAAATAAAAACATAAATCTGATCATGTTATATTCTTGTCCAACACTTTCCAAAAGCAGCATGAGTTGGCCTGTCCAGCCCTTGACCTTGTCTATTTCCTCCCCCTCACAATTTGTTCCACCTTTAATGCTCTTCTTGCTCATCCCCAAATATTTCAAGCAGATTCTACTTTGGGGCATTTATGTTTGCTGTTTATTTTACCAGGGATTCTCTTTAGAGAGGCAGCCCCTTGGCCTAGGCCCTCACTGCATTTAAGGATTTGCCAAAGTCTCCACTTCAAGCAGTCCTCTCCCCTAATTGCCCACCTCTACCTCTCTCCACCTGGCATTACTTTATTCATTTTTTATATATGTTTTTCTTTCTCCTTCCACTAAAACATAAGCTTTACAAAAGCAGGTATCTGGTCTTTGCTGACAACTACATCTCCAGGACCTTCAGAACAGTGCCTGCAATTAGAGGCTAAGAAGTGAATGGGTGAATGGATAAAAGGGATTAGATACTTTAAAATCCAAACAAAAAAAATCAGATTAATGACTTTACATGTTTTCTTTGACTTACTTTAAGAACCCTCCTCCTCCTCCATTTTTCCTTTCAGAATATAACCTTTTCCATCCATATTTCTAAGAACTCTTTATGCTTCTGTAGCTGACTCTTACTTGCCTTGTATTCCAGTAATTTAGTCACTGTAATTGGAATGAATGTGAAAGGCTGCAATGTTTTGCCAATCTTGTTCTCTTTCATGGTGCCCTATGTATGCCCTGTAAATTACCTGATTAGTAACAGTGCTGACCACTATGACCTGAACAGCTTTTCTCTCTTTTAATTTTTGAAATAAAGACCTAACTGTTAAAGCCTCTATTTGGAAGATAAAAATACTATAGTGGCAATGTGCATAAAGATGGCAGAGCTAGAAAGGTTCCTCAGAGATTAAAAATGATCCCATCATTCCTGTTGTGGATTTTTCATTCATTCATCCAACAAGTACTTATTATGTACAGACTATGTCTCAGGGAAGAGATGGCAGAACCAAGAGTTGTCTCTGTGTTTCCTGGCCAGTGGGCTTATTTACAGGGTAGAATATACTTTCTGCTTCTGATTTCAAAATTTCTAGATTGTCTAAAATTTTAAATATTGAGACTTAGAGTTATATAAAAGATACCTTAGATGAACACATTTCCCCTTTTCCAGTAGAAATGGATTTCTAACAATAATTTTGTTCATTCTTACAGATATTAGTCAATGTTCCCTATTTATGCAGTAACATTCTTCCAAATAACTAACATAATCTAAGCATTAATATTTTCTTTTTTTTTTTTTAATATATCTTTATTGATTTCAGAGAGAGGAAAGGAGAGGGAGAGAGAGAGAGAGAAACATCAATGATGAGAGAGTCACTGATCGAGCCCGCAACCCGGGCATGTGCCCTGACCGGGAATCGAACCCCGATCGCCTGGATCCTAGGTCGACGCTCAACCGCTGAGCCACGCCCGGCCGGGCAGCATTAATATTTTCTTAGTGACACATATCAAGCATGTTCACTTTATTGTAGGATTAAGTTTTACTTGGTTATTAACCAGTCCATAGAAAATTTATGTGTTTTGAGTGCCCAACATGTGAGAGTAAGTGTCCTTGAAGAGTTTATATTTAATAAGTAATCATTCACAGAGGACAGTTAAGAGGACAGCATGTCTGTGGGTGGTTGAATGAAACAAAGACCTAGATTAGCAGATGAGCAGGCTGGAGAGGTTAATGGCGAAATGAATGAGTTTCACAGGATGATGACCTGGCTTGCATCAATTCAATTTAACATTTACAGTGGACTTACTATGGTCACAGGAGTGAATCAGAAACTGTTTCTTTTCTAAATTTTCACAATCAGGTAGAATACTAACAAACTAGATGAAAGGTCAAAGGATGTATCAGGTGATACAGTGAATGGGAAGTGTATTTCTTCTGTTCATTCTACATTTTTTAAATTCTTTTTATTTGCCAATCTCATATCTTTCATATAGTGAGAGAGTAAGGATATTTAAAGGAAAGATCAGTCACATGGTTATACCTTAGTACCAAAGTGTATAATATAATCACATTATACTTGTCAAATATTTTTGAGTGGGTTTTATGCGTTAGTAACCTTTACCATTTTCCAAGAGAAGCTTCTGAATATATGACGATTCCCATTATGTTCACAATTATTTCGATTTTGAAATTGTTCGAGTCTTCTAAAGATAAGGAAACCTCGGGATAGTTTGATTCTTAAAATGCAAGCTATTTAACTGGTACTAAAACAATCATGGCACCTGTAAAATGAACGCTTTTCTTAAAATGCTACTGTTTAAATGCACTGCTTAAATTCTGTTGCAAATGACATTCATTTCCTGCAACAAACATCATCTGCTATATTCATGGTATATAAATGTCTTTGAGGCCTAGCCTGTTACTCAACTAATTTAACTCTTCCTAGCAACCGATTTGTCGAGGGTACTTACATATTCTTCATAAGCCTCGTGGGCTGGGGGAGGGGGTGCCCTGTATCCTGGCACTGTTGGTGCCCCCCGGGCTCGTGGAGTAGGGACACCTCTTGCTACAGGGGGCACTGGAAGAGCTCCACGGGTCACACTGGTCCCTCGAGGAGTGAGGACACCTCTTCCAGGTGGTGGGGGAGGAGGAATGGCACCCCCACGACCCCTAGGAAAAACAACATGTATAGAGGAGAAACAAGTGATGAGAGAAAGGGGCTAAAGCAGATCAAGCTCTCATTTTACAGTTCTGTACGATGGGAAGAAACCAGATTTATTTGTGTGTGTGTATGTGTGTGTGTGTGTGCGCGCGCATTTAACTGAGATTCTTTAGAATGCGAAGTATTTTGCCTCCACAGTAGAATACATTTTGTAAATACTGGTTATGACTTAGTTATGAAAACCATGCAAAATACTTTGCTATTTGCTTTTATAAAACTCAACAAACAAAAACCAGCCCATTCTCATTTTATTCCAAACTTATCAAAAAGACCCAAATGAGAGCATTGTCTGATATATGACTCACTGGACCATCTATGAAATTGAGCTGCTAAATGTCGGTGTCTCCTCCATGCTGGAGCTTATTGACAGTGATGTGCAATGCTGTCATTTACAAAAAAAAAAAAAAATCTGTCTGCACTTTAATACTTAATAAAAGGTGAATCTCTAACCATGGTGATATCATTCTGTTTATTACAGTAGCTTAAGCTTGAGGTCACTTGAAATCACAACTCATTGTCATTGATGTATTATCATTCACGTAATCCCCTGAACTGGTAGAGTCCCTGATATAATTTATTTTCCTCTGGTAACTGTGGCACTAAGTGAAATACATTAGGACTCTGCAATAAAATAAAAAAAATAGATAGAATACTCTGTACTACAGTGCTTGACACAAAAGTAACTGGTACTAAAAGCCCTAGATCAAATGGATGCAGCCAATTTTCATGGTAGTCTGAGGCCTTTGGAAAGGTGGAGTGTTTGTCTGAAGCCTTTGGGCAGAAGCGTGGCTATTTCACTTTTTATTATGTCTGAGAGACTGTCCTCCACAAAGCACTGCTTTCAGCAGGAACACTAAAGCTTCAGGAAAAATAATGATCATTGGGATGTCAACAATCAAACGGTTTGGCTGCACCCACAGATGGGGAATGTAGGTTATGCTTTCTGCTATGAATAGCAGTCAGCTGGCTCTTTCTTGCTTGCAGAAAATGAGCTCTTATGAGTGCACAGTAAGAATGCTGGTGAAGCTTTTAAAAGTTTCAAATAGATTACAGAGTTGAGGGATAGAGAAATTATCAGAGAACTTATTGTGAGTCTAATGTATAGGGAATACTCTCCTAGACTGGGGAAAGCTGAGATACAAAAGACCCAGAAGGCCAGGTGCCTGCTTTGAGCACAACAGAGCTGAGGAGGCAATATTCTGCATTATCATAATAATATAATACCATATTCTGTATTACCATGGCAATATGAAAACACATCTACAAAAAAGAATGTAACGACCAATATTACCTTCACTGGGCCAAGCACCTATCTGTTTCCTCGTAAGCAGGGTGAGCTTATTTCCAGGTTTGCCCAGAATAGTTCTGATTTACAACCGTTTGCTATTCGGTTTAGCATTTTAACACTCTCAAAAGTGTCCATGTGTGACTAGTTAATTATATGTCGCCTGCACTGAACTACATTCACAAGTCCTGGGTGTACCACTGAATAATCACAGGTAAGTACTATATCCCACTGGGTCTGAGGTGGATTTTTTTTTTCCTGATGGGTCAAATCAGATTCTGAATCTGTAACAATTCTTCCTGCTTTAAAATTGTATGATCCTGGCATCAAATCTAATTTCTCATCCCATGCCTTCATTAACTGTCTCCAAGACATAGCCCTTGCAAAAAAAACTGTCTCCTGAATCTGACTCATTATGTCCTTTCCCTGGGATATTAACCCCATATCTCTCTTCTCCAATTCAATGCAAGATTCATGTCACTTATTTTAGGACACAGTCCCTGGCTGCATCCACATGACAGTATTCTTTCCTTCATTTTACTGACTTCTTGAAATTTTTCCCTCTTTAGTGCTTGAAATCCTCATTCTTGAATAAAAAAAAAGGTGGAGGGATTAAGAAGTCCAAATTGTTAGTTACAAAATAGTCATGGGGACGTAAAGTACAGCACAGCAAATATAGTAAACAATATTGTAATAACTATATATGGTGCCAGGTGGGTACTGGAAATATTGGGGGGCGGGGGAAACACTTTGGAAAGTATCTGATTGTCTAACCACTGTGCTGTACACCTGAAATTAGTACAAAATAATATTAAATGTAAACTCTAATTGAAAAATATAATTTAAAAATTTCATCTAGGTATCACTTTTGCCACTTTGTTGGAAATACTCTTGACCGAGCTGACCAGTAGCCTACTGATTTCAAAATCCACTGGATTCGTTTACAGTCCCCATTCCCCACACCTCCCCTATTATACTTATCTCTGTGGACTTCTGTCTGGAAAACGCCTTCTTCAGACTTTATGATTCTGCATTTCTCCACACTTCCTCCCTCCTCTTTCTTACTCTTTAAGCTCCTTCTCTAGCTTCTTTATTCCTGGGCTCCCCTTGGATTATAAGCATCCCCATTTTCTGTCTTCTGTCCTCTTAATTTTCCTCGTGGTGCACCCTGCAGTCTTTAACTCTAATGATGGTTATTATCTGTTTCCTTCCTAACACAGGTTGTGTCCTGGATTATGGGCCTTGCTTACATCCTAGGGTCCTTAACTCATCTGCACATTACAGTTACCTAAAGACCTTTGAAAAATTCCAAATTCCAGACCATACCCCAGGACAATTAAATCACAATATCTAGAAGCAGGAAGCCCTCAGCGATTCCAATATGCAGACCATTTGGGGAACTCCTGCCTTACGTGCACCATCTAATTTGAAAATCTTGACAAGCTTGTCATGTAGCCGTTTCTAAGCTGTTTTAAAGGTTGAGAACCAAGGCACAGAAAGTACAAGACACCTGACAAAGGTCACACTAGCACATCCAAAGAGCTAGGGTTAATTATAGGAATAATTATAGTCTTCATTTAACTTGGTTGTCACACCTAATCTTAGTTGATGGCATTATAATCCCTAACCAGGCTAGACATCACAAAGTTATCGTTGTCTTGGGCCCTCTTTCTTCTCCAACTTCTAATTAGGCACTAATTCTTATAAATTCTAATCTTTGACCTAGTCTGATTATTTCCACACTCCAAGTGGTGTTCATTTCTCTTTCGGATAATGGACTTCTCACTGGCTTCCCTGCCATGAGTCAGTGTCTCTGTCTCTTCTCTATCACCCACAGTGATGACTGAGTAGTCTTTCTTAGAAACAAATATGATTACTCCCCTCTTTAATAAACTCCATTAGTTTCATGTATTGATTCTCATTATGGGAAACAAAAACCTTCAAAATCTGCCTCTAATGTTTCATTTTCCACTGTTTGCTCTCACTCAGCGTGTAGTGGTGATGGGTGTTAGAGATGTCACATGTCTAAATTCTTTAGTTATACATTATAAATTATTATAATATATATGTGATCCTTTGTTCTCTAGTATGTATGTATTATCAGAGAAGTAGTTTTCATAGATATGTTTATTGAAACAAATTTCTTTAATTAAATAAAATTTCAACAAATTACTATAGAAATGTAAAAATATTCCAGGTACCATTCTCTTTGAATATGTGTAACTGAATAATTTAATAAATTCGCAACTTCATAAATATGTACAAATTGTCATTAACATTAACTTATGTTTTCAGGGCCTTCTGATCAATATAATTTTCTGTTTGAGAAGCTGTTTCCTTATTCCTTCGTATTTGTAGATACATTTTACCATGTGGTTTGAAATGGAAGACAACAGATTTCTGCTCCATTTACTTTCATTAATGTTAATACACTAAAGATATCAATACAGCATTGCAATGAGGTTTAATTTTCAACATTAATTTTCTTTTCTTTTTATATATGCAGTATCACATCTGTTGATATATGGGATATTAAAAAATCAGTATCTTTCAGTCAAATTTTTCTTTTAAGATAATTAAAAATCTAGACCATAATCCACTATTCTTTATTAAGTCATTAAAGAGATTAAAATTTTAGTACAAAATTATACTGTAATAGAAATCTCATATGGTTCACTTAAATATGGCAAATGTAATATTATGTTAAGCAACATCAATAACAAAATAAAATTTATTAATACAGTGATTTTATAATCTCAAAAGCAGGTTAATGTATTCTTTTTAAAAAATGGTCTCAAGGAATACAGAATAGGAAAAATCTCCTCTGTAGACATAAATTGTCATTTTTGAACTGTACGAGTAACAAGTTCATGATTTCAAGCATATGATTTAATCATTTTAAGATACCTGCTGTGTCATTTCATAAACCATTATGATGACATTAGCACCATACAATGTTTTATAAAAGGCTAAGTCCATAAAATAGTATGCCCATAAAAAAGCTATGTCACATTTTTATCAATAAACAAATGTTTCTGGATAGCATTAAAGAGCTCTGTTTTTATTTTTTAAAGATCAACATGTAAAAATAAGCTCTAAAACATTTTTTAGAAGTATCTCCTTTAGTCAAATGTAATTTTAAGAATTGCCACATTGTACCTTTAGATAGTTATTGCCTTTGTGTTTTATTTGGAAGTTTATCATCCTTCACTTTTTTTTCTGGTTACTATGAAACTTTTTGAGGTATTTATGGTTTAAGTATTAAAATAGTGGTCTTTTGACAGTGTTAGTTGAAAATATTGGGGCATCATTAACAAATAAATTGAATCAGTAAAGTATCTTAGAATCTCTTAAGATGCTTTCTATGCAATGTATGAAATATTCTAGATCGATGTCTTTCAGAGATGTGAAGGCCAACTAAAATAGGGTGAGAGAATGACAGAATTACAATGTCTGTGTGTGAAGGCTATGAGTATTTTTTACTTTACTTCTTTGCAAACCAATTCTTTATGTTGAAAGCTTGACAAATTCAGAATCCTACAAAACAAATCCTCTCTGATGACCAAGGACATTGCAAAGTCAAATATAACTAAACTTTAAGTACTCTTACCATCTGCCAAGCAAGAAGTATGCTTCTGGCTTTTCGTACTGGTGATATATATATATATTACCTATCTATCACCTATCTGTCATCCCCTATCTCTGTATGTAGCTGCCACGACTATGTTAATTCAAGGGCCACTTAAGGCACAGCCAAAATCTATAACTTTCTCTTTGCACTAGGCCATCCAGGTTCAAAAGCATGTGATTGTGTCACTTGCATGCCTTAATCCCGAGGACAGAACCAAAACAGTAGAAAGATTCAGGTTTGCTCATCTTATTTTCTTTGGATAGTTGTTAAGAGTTCCAACTGTGAATTCTGCAGTCAAACTACCTGTGTGACCTTGGGCAAAATCCCTTACATCTTTCTGTATCTCCATTCATCACCTGTATATAATATTTAACCTTAGTATGGAGGATTTGATGAGTTAATTTATGAAAGTTCTTATGTGCTATGTAAGCATTCATCATTACTGGTTTGGGAGAGGTAGGCGGTTATTGCTGCTGATGTTGCTGTTGCTTCCTCGCTGCGGTCGAGTCACAGAGCAAGCCAGCAGAAGCCTGCCATCCTCGCCGGCTGCTAATTTACTTAAAGTAAAAACCAATGTACCTCGAAGGCGTTGTGGGGGCTATTCTGATCCCTCTGCCTCTAATACCTCTGCCACGACCAGAGTCTTCTGAGCCATTTAAGTAAGATAATTCACGCAGTTGTTCCTGACGAATTTCATCATTATAGTCCTAGAAGGAAAAAAACATGACCTGATGAGTTTAAAAGTGGTGTGGGGTTCTTGGAGCTTAACAAATACAGTAAGAAAGGAAATTTTTCATTTATTTTCTGGATCCTTGTATACAAAAATCTAAAATGATGTAATAGTGTATATACTTTAAATTCTTATTTTTATATAGAGAAATTGAAGTTGCTTTACTTATCAAGAAGTAAGCACTCAGCAGGAAGTCAGATGACTTTTGCTGGGGTATCACTTGATATGTTAGGCAGAAAAGGGAAGATAGCACCATAGAAGCAGATCTTGGCATGTAGCAAAGTGATGATTGCTAATAAGAGAATTAATTAAAAACAACTTGAATGACTGCATGCTGCTCATGTAACTCCTAATGCATAAACCAAAAAAGGCCCAAAGTAGATACTGAGCACGTGTTAAAATAATTTTTAAAAAGCGCAAATAATAGGGGATAGTTTCAGACAACTGGGAAGCTGTCAATCCAACCAAACAAATTGATGGACAATGTTTAAAAATAAGAAACTTTCTGTGTTCTAGCACTGGACTGACAGAGTGACAACAGTAGCAGAAGTCAAATTTCACAGTAACAACTGGAGATTCAGTCAAAGTTAAAGGGACTATTTCTCTCCTTCATCAATGTGGAAATGTATCAGTCATTTCAATATGACCAGAGAGTGGATCTGAGCCACTGAAGGTGAACGGTATCTTCAAAAAAACAAGTGTCAGTCTTACCTGTTTCTCCTTTTACTGATAAACACATACATACACATGCACTTGGTTAAACATCACAAAACGGAGTAATTTGTTATTTTTGCTGATAAGTAAACATTTGATCCTATTCAAAATATCCACTGAGATATTTGGTTCATACAAAAGGTTCTTGAGATTTGGTACTGTCCAAAACATCCATGAATTTATTTGGTCCACACCAAATTGTCCTTGATATTTGGTGTCAAAAATGTCTGTGCTTATAAAATGTCCCTGGGTTCAAATAGCCCATAATGTTTATTTACATTTTTGGTTTAAAGAATTAATGCATAAAAATATTTTCATTTTTTACTGGTCCAGTAATAGCGTTGTGGTTATAGTGCCAAAAATAACCCTTCTTGCTTATGTGTCCCAGCTGATAATGCCTCGTGGGGTTAGGTACATGGGTTAAGGTTCGAATCTTGCAGAAGAACAGAATTTATATTAACCATGAGTCCTGAGGAAGAGTCCTGCAATTAGAGAAATGCTCAGAAGACAAAAAATTGGGAAGGGGATCTCAGGGTGCATGGTCTGTTAATGTCAGTACATATCAAGGATCTCTAAGTTATGGAACAAATATCTCTATGGATGTTTTTAACCAAAATAGGACCAAATTTCCTGCAAGGGTTTTTGCCAAATAGTCAATCTGACTAATCTTTTTTTTCAGTAAACATATATTTAAGTTAAATCAATCTAGTAGATTTTCTAGTGTTGAGGAAAGAGGCCTAAGAGTTGAGACTAGCAGTATTTATTTGGGCGACTTAACAGAAATTATGTTTGAGACTTAGTTGTGGGACCAAATATCAAGTCAATTATCTCATCAAATGATGCCAGTTTAAAAAGAAAGAATAAATAAATGGGACTACATCATACTGAAACATGTTTGCACATTGGCCCTGACTGGGTAGCTCAGTTGATTAGAGCATCATCCTGGTACTCCAAAGTTGTGGGTTTGATCCTGGTCAGGGAACTTACAAGAATCAACCAACGAGTGCGTGGATGGGTGGAACAACAAATCGATGCTCGTTTCTCTCTCTCTTTCTCTCTCAAATCAATAAAAAAAGGTTTTGCATAGCAAGAGGAACCATCTACAAAAAAAGAAGACAACCTACTGAATGGAAGAAGATATTCGCCAGTGATACATCTGGTAAGGAGTTAATATTCAAAATTTATAAAGAACTCATACAACTCACACCAAAAAATACCCAAACAATTAAATTTAAAGATGATCAGAGGATATATTCCTAGAAGTGGTATCACTGGGTCAAAAGGCAGTTCCATTTTTAATTTTTTGAGGAACTTTCATACTGTTTTCCATAGTGGCTGCACGGGTCTGCATTCCCACCAGCAGTGTACCAGGGACCCCTTTCTCCACACCCTCGCCAGCACGTGTCATTTTTTGATTTGTTGATGGAGCCATTCTGACAGGTGTGAAGTGATATCTCATTGTAGTTTTAATTTGCATCTCTCTGATGATTAGCGATGTAGAGCATATTTTTATATGTCTCTTGGCCATCTGTATGTCCTCTTTAGAGAAGTGTCTATTCAGGTCCTTTGCCCATTTTTTAATTGAATTGTTTGTCTTCCTCTTGTTGAGTTGTATGAGTTCTTTGTACACTTTGGAAATTAGCCTCTTATCAGATGCATCCTTGGGAAATACGTTCAAGAATCCTGAAACACTAATCAGAAAGAATATATGCACCCCTATGTTCACAGAAGTGCAATTTACAATAACTAAGATCTGGAAACAGCCCAAGTGCCCATCAGTAGATGAGTGGATAAAAAAAAAGCTGTGGGACATTTATACCATGAAATACTACGCAGCTATAAAAAAGAAGAATCTTTACCCTTTGGAACAGTATGGGTGGACCTGGAGAATATTATGCTACGGGAAATAAGCCAGACGAGAAAGACAAATATCACATGATCTCATTTATATGTGGAATCTAAAGAACATAATAAACTGATGAACAAAATAGATTCAGTGACATGGAAGCATGGATCAGACTGACGAGTCTCAGAAGGAAGGTGGGGGTGGATGGGTGGGTGGGGAGAGATTCACTAAAGAATTTATATACATATAAGCATAACCCATGGACACAGACAGTAGTGTGGTGAAGGCCTGGGGAGGGGAGTTTGGGCAGGGTGGAAGGGGTCAATGGGGAAAAAGGGGACATCTGTAATATTTTGAACAATAAAAAAAAAAAAAAACTGTAAAAAAATTAAATTAAAAAAAATAAAAATGGGCAGATGACCAGAATAAACATGTCTTCAAAGAAAACACACATATGGCCAATAGACATATGAAAAGATCACCAGTATCACTAATCATCAGATAAATGCAAATTAAAACCACAATGAGATATCACCTTACAGTTGTCAGGATAGCTATCATCAATAAATCTTACTATTTGTGACAACATGGATGGACCTAGAAGGTATTATGCTAAGTGAAATAAGGCAGGCAGGGAAAGACAAATACCATATGATTTAACTTATATGTAGAATCTAAAGAACAAAATAAACAAAGCAAAAATGAAACAGATTCATAGACACAGAGAACAGACTGATGGTTGCCAGAGGGGAGGGATTGGGAACTGGTTTAAAAGGTGAAGGAATGAAGTCCAAATTGGTAGTTACAAAATAGTCATGAGGATGTAAAGTACAGCATAAGGAATATAGTCAATAATATTGTAATAACTAAGTATGGTGCCAAGTGGGTACTGGAAATATGGGGGTGGATACCACTTTGTGAAGCATATCATTGTCTAAACGTTATGCTGTACACCTGACACTAATGCAAAATAATATTGACTGTACACTGTAATTGAAAAATAAAATTTAAAAAATGATCCAGTTTAGCTCTGCTTATATATGTTATAGTAACATTAAATAAAAACTGTGTACACTCATCCATACACCTCTCTCTAGAAAATGGCAGGTTTGCATTCAGCCTACAAGGATTTCTAATGCACAGCTTTACTTACAAATAATGCCTTGATTACAAACAAAAGTACTAGTCCGTCCAAAGGCATTTATTCCTTATTTTTAACATGTTTCTGTTTATCATTTTAGGTACCTGGTTATAATAATAATGGGCTCAACATAACTGGCTGACAGAAGAGCTATATAGTAGAAAATTACAGTTTCTAACCAGTCATGTATTATTCAATTTCTACCTCTGAATTTTCACATTCAAGCAACAACAAATCTGAAGAATAAAGATGTCTATTATTTTATTAAAATCAGGGAATATGATGAATTGCTATTTCTGAGTGAACTGAGCAGCCATTATCAAAATGAAAAATTTTATTATTTTCCCATGTAATATTCCTAATAAGATAGGGGACCTTTGCAGCCTCTTATCTGAGGAAAACTAATGGACTTTCAGGGTCCTTATGAATTGTTTAAAATGGATGGGTTTTCATTGTTGGCAACACTTAAGGTTGAGATAAAAATTAACAAATTGCAGATTAATTCAATATATGTAAAAATGTTTTTTAGAGTATATATATTTTATGCCAGAATCAGAAAATATAATAAGATGGGTAGAGTCTTATTTTCTGTATAATCATAAAAAATTTCCCTTTAATGTCATTGCATCAGGAAAGTCTAGGAGCTTCTACCTCTCTTTCCTTTGGGTGTGAGGACTTTCCAGCCTTCCTTGACTTCTTTTTTTTTTTTTTTTTTTTAA